TGGATGGGATAAAATTTTCCAACAAAGTGTTCGTAGGACAGACCTTGAAACCCTCACTTTTGTTGAATCTTCATAAGCTTCGTAGTGAGTCCTTGGGTTTGCCTTGTGTCCTGCACGAAAATCTAGATTACCCTGCGTAAGCCATAAACAGTCTCTGAGTTGATCTCTGCCTTGAATCACAGAAGTTTTATGGAATTAAGTCTGGTCATTCACACACACCCCCTTTGTTATTTGTAATGGTCTTACAAGGCCTTACCCTGAGTAAATAAAAGTTTCCAAATGGTCTAAAATGCTAGTTCTTTTCAGTCATTTATTAATTCTTAGTATATAGTATGAGATAGAAATACAGTATTTTCTCCTCATTTCCAAATGACTAATTTGACATGCCAATGAAACTGACAAAACACTTTTTTTTCTTTCCTCTATGATGAATGCCTTTTAGTAATACATTTCCTCCTCTTATTTCTTGATTTTCTAAGTGGATGGACTCCCTGTTCATAGCAATAATAGTGTGTGCAACAAACGGCAAAACTCACGTGTCTAGTTAGGTTTAAGATAATTGAACAAGGATTATCTTTGTCACATGAATTTGGCCCTATTAGATGGGAATTTGGGCCTTTGATTTGAGGCTAGAAATGGTCATTTTGGACTATAACTTCAGAAATGATATATGTTGCCCACCTACAGTAAAATGTAGGCTGTGTGTTGAGGATAGGAAAGCTTTCAAGGGATCAGCCAGCCAGACGGTTTTCCGGGCATCAGTGAAGCCTGTGCCAGAGGTCACCTGTAGCATCTATTTCTCATGTAGTCCTGTCACCTCTGCCCATCCATTTCCTCTGACCCCTCGAGGGTCTTCACCCTGTGCCTGCTGAAAGGAGAGCTCTGTGTTGTCAGGGTTCGTTACACTGTACAAATGTAACAATGGAGTGTGGCATAAGAACCTTTGATGGGGGTTGAAGACCTCATTTGTTTGTTACTTGGTTTGTTACCTCTGAGTGAAGATTTCCCTCATTGAGATTTTTGTTTCTCTTCACAATACAGCAAATGGAAAGGTGATAACAGCAGTGTCAGTTCCCTGTGTATCAGCCCAGATGGAAAGATGTTGCTTTCTGCTGGTCGAACAATCAAGCTGTGGGTTTTGGAGACCAAAGAAGTTTACAGAGTGAGTGAATCAAATTCATTGCAGGCATAGGAGGGAGAATCCCCGTCACAGAGAGTAAATAAGGAGAGAGGCTGACTTCTGAGCCATGGAATATTGCTTGAAATGTTTGGTAGAACTAAAGCCCCAAACTTACAAGTTGTTTTATTGATGTTCCACAGCCTAGCTGTGCCCCATCTCACATTCATTAGAAAAACCAACAGAATAAATGAGATTTGAATTAGAAATCTTTTACTTGGCTTTGATTTGTAGTCACTTGCATCCAACGTTTTGTCTACTTCACAATATGTAAATAAGGTTTATTGTGAGTTGCTTCCCACTCCTGATGACCCTCATGTGTGCAGAGTAGAACACCACGGGATCTTCAAGGCAGTGAGCTCCAGAAGCAGATCGCCAGGCCTGCCCTCTGAGGTGCCATGTTCACAATGGGTGGGCTTGGAGCTGCGCGGTTTGCCTCATCTTGGTGTGGTGTGCACTTTTTGTGGAAAAACTGGTTTCACTGGGGGCTTACTAAGCTTACGGTGCTGTGATGATGCCTTAAAATTGTGGTTTCAACTCACTGAGAGTAAATGAAGACTTACAATTCCTTGGCTGTGTCTGAGCACCCAAAGTATCCCTTGACAAATACACAGAAGTAAGTGAATCTCGATCTCAAAATTGGAAGAAATTGTTGGAGGGCGGTAGAGTCAGCGGGATTCATGAGGATTCATGATTCATGACTTTTTAGTGTTTTCATATGGGTTTTTTAAAAAGGAAGAGGAGCATATTAAATCATCTTTGTTTAGAATACAAACCTCTTACTCTCAGTTTGGAGTTCTACTTTGAGATGCAAAGCATACATCTTTTAGGGATACAAATGGACTTAACTTCCTGTTTTGCATGCGTCCTCTTCTAAATGGAATTTAACTTTCTCTAGCACTTCACAGGCCATGCGACACCAGTCTCGTCACTTATGTTCACTACTATCAGACCTCCTAATGAGAGCCAACCCTTTGATGGAATTACAGGTCTTTATTTCTTATCTGGAGCAGTCCATGACCGGTTACTGAATGTCTGGTATGTAGTCTTTCTTTTTTTATTTGGGAGATCGTTTTGCCTTGGTGACTGTGGAACATGGTTATTATATATAAATTATGAGGAGCTAAGTGTCACAACAAGTTGAGCTAACCGGAAGGTTGGCAGTTCAAGCCCACGAGCCCACTCTGTAGGAACAAGATGAGCTATCTGCCTCTGTAAAGATTTAGTCTCTGACACCATGTGGAGCAGCTCTGTGCCCGAAATGCCGTGAATGGAACCAACTCTGACTGCGAGTTTGGGTGTTTCTTACAAAGTATGAGTCTGAAACTTAATATTTGTACTTAACGCTGGGTTTATCTTAATTTCTAATACAGAAATTACCTTGCCTAAGAACATCTTTTTTTGCAGTAGAATTGTATGTTTTTGTGCCTGGGTAATTTTAAAATAGGTCGTTTTCCCCTGTCTTTCTTTCTCTTTTTTTTTTTTGGTAGGAGAGCATTTGATTTTGTTGAAAAGATTTGATTTTATGCCACCTTGGGATGAAGCAGTGATGTCCATCTACTGATAGGTTACATTTTCTGGTGTGTCTGAGAATTCCCAGCACCCCTTTTTGGGGTGAGAGTTGCTGTTACTGATTCTCATTTAAGCTTTTTTTTTTTTAAGTTGTGATTTTGAGTGTTAAAGGACCATCACAAAGGTTTTAAATTTATGAAAAGAAAACAAATTTTTCTGACATCATCTCATGGTGAAGTAGTAGACTTTGAAAAAAACCATGCTGATTGATTTAAAAGTATTTTCATTTTTTCTTGGCTAAATCGTAGGAGCGTAGTGGCTGAATGATGGGTGATATGTATACATGTTTTTGAAGAAATTGCCAAACTTTTTCAAAGTTCTGCCATTTCATGTTCTCTTCAGCAGTGGATGAGGTTGCTGATTACTCCACATCCTCAACAATACGTGGTGATCAGTGAATGTTAGCTACTTCAATATGGGTGCATTTTCATGTTGAGAATCGGCTATGTGCTTATTTTGCAAGTTGAGAATTCTGTATATATTCTGAACTAGAAGGTATATGCTTTACAAATACTTTCACCGAGGCTGTGCTTTGCCTAATTCTCTTTAACAGCTAAGTGTCTTTTGACGAGTGGAAGGCTTAAATTTTGATAAGTATGGACCGTGTTCAGAAAACTTGCCTGACCCAAGGTTACAAGGGTTTTCTCGCGCATTTTATTAGTTTGGGGTTTTACCTTTAGTTCTGCGGCCTGTTTTGTGCTCATCTTTGTATGTAGTGTGCGAGAAATGGATTGAAGGTCTTGATTTTGTATTGGGGATATGCCATTGCCCTGGCACAATTTCTAAAAGAGAAGAAAATCAAGTTCTCAAAATCTCACCTTGATATTTTGGTAGATATTGGCAAACTAATTTGAAAATTAAATGGAAATGCAAAGGACACGGACTACCCCAAGCACCTTTAAAGATCAATAAAGCTGGGATTCTAACACTGCCTCTTTTGAAGGTCACACAAACTACAGTAATTAGTACTGGTATTGGCATCAAGATGGATACTAGATCACTAGGAATAAACAAGAGGATGTTGTTCATTCTTTAAATCTGCCACAAATTAATATTTCATTTTACTCTGAATTATATCACTTGGTCCATTTTACTCCAGACTATATCGTATGGTGGTTGTGACTTGAAAACTTACTTAATTTTGTCTTTTGCCAACTTACTGGTAATCTAATGTGATGATCCATTAGATGCTTTTTTCCCCTCTCTTTTCAGAAAATCTGTTTCATTACCTGATTGTTGATTTGTTATCTAGGCAGGTCCGGTCAGAGAACAAAGAAAAGAGCGCAGTGATGTCTTTTACAGTTACAGATGAACCGGTCTATATTGACCTGACTTTGTCAGAAAACAAAGAAGAGGTAAATGACTCCATTGTTATGGAGAACCTATTTTTAGATCTTATGCTTTTTTTTCTTTGTAAAATATCAGGACTTTTTTATTAGACTTATTTTTATCTTGTTCCAATGTTTTCCTTTTCTCTTAATGTTAGCAGTTTTATTGATCTCTGGTTCACATAGCAAACAACACAATGGCTTAAGCATGTTAAAGAGTTTAAAATACATTAAATTAAAAACATTTTAATTAAAACAGGAAAAAAACTAACAGTAATGAAATAAAACAAAACACTAATTAAAAAGAAAGCAGAAAATAATAAAAACTAGAACACATTTAAAATGGATCAAATGGGAGAACAAATGATAAGATGTTAAATTGTAAACGAATTACATTTGCATTACTCCACTTTCTAATATTCTTTCTCTGAGAACAAGGTTATTCACTTCCCTGGTCAGAGGGGATTCGCCAGACGCAGTGGTTCTCAACCTTCCTGATGCCGAGACCCTTTCATGCAGGTCCTCGTGTGGTGGTGACTCACCGCCCCCCCCCAACCATAACATTATTTTCTTTGCTATTTCATAACTGTAATTTTGCTACTGTTATGAATCAGGCAACCCCTGTGTGAAAGGGTTGTTCGACCTCCACAGGGGTAAACTTCAAGACTTTTAATGGTAGAACGGCTCATTGGGAAAGAAGGAACATGAGGGATTGTTAACAGCAAAGTATAGCCTTTACTTTAAATAAAGTAATACTTTTGTGTCTTGGCGGAGGTTTACACAGCAGTTTTAGTTCCCACTCAACAGTTAGCACACAAAGTAATCGATGATATTGGCTGTATTCTTCACCATGCCCGGACATTTATGTTGATTCCGTCCTGCATGGTCCATGTTCATTCATCTCATTGTCCTGCCCCCTCACATTCTTTGTTTTCATTGTCCACCATTAGGGCTTGTATAGTTTGATTTTTTTTTTAAAGGGCTGCATATGCATAGGTGATTCTCTTTACTTTTTTGAGCCAATTTGTTATTTAGCTAAAAGGTAGGGCTACTAGATTTGGTTTAAGCTTTAAGGAATATCTCAGGGCAATAGTCTTTGGGGAGTCTTCCAACTGGTTGAATAAGTCTTTTCAGAATTTTTGTTCCACATCTCTCTCCATTCTTCCAGTGCGGGCCATCAGTGGTGGGCCTGTGAGACTGGTCTGCAGTGGTGGCTGAGAGGAGGCGAGGCTGTGTTCTGTGAAGACACGCGTCCTGTACATCGGTTTCTTGCGTCTCAGGTCTCATTCTGTTGGTTTTGCTCCAGATGAGCTCCTACCAGTAGTGACATCTCAGATGGCTGAACAGAAAATCTGTTTAAACAAAGCATTGCTAACTGGCAACATTCTTTTTGGAAAGGGAAAATTTAATTCCAAAGACATTACATTTTGAGACTGCATATGAATAAAAGTTATTAGAGTAGGCATTTATTGTTAGAAATTTTTTGAATGGTTCTTCTGTTAGTGGCTTTTTTTTTGTTACAAAGTTTTGTATGTCCTAAGGTTTATTTACAGTTTATTCTAGTCACATGTTTCTTTTTTCATGTAAAAATGAATTTTATTATACCATATTGTCAGCATTTAGCAAGCCTTATATTTTTGAAGTGCTTCATGTTCATGTTTCTGTTTGATTAAAGCTTGTTCAAAGTTTTTGCTTTTGGGTTCTGATTTAAACAGAATCCTAGTCATTCAGTGAAAGCTAAGCATTTCACTTTGAACACAATCAGGGTGTTGAAATGCGTGTTTTATAAACCTCTAATAGAGATGAGTTAGGGCGTTTTCATTGTGTTTATTATTTGCCACCATAATTAAGTTCGGGTATTTTAGAAGTATTTTAATTATGTTTGATTATTTAAACTCCCAAATACAAATAATTTCTTATGATAAAAATCATCCCCTTTGAAGTAGTAGCATTTTCCTTTGGACAGTTGATTGGGTTGTTGCTTTCTCTCTTTCTGGCTTAAATCATCAGTAATCAAATATGGTAAAGGACAACATCTCACCCATCAGAACGTTTAGATGTTCTTAAGATATTGAAATAGGAATAATGGAATCTGCTTCTTAGAAAGCCAAGCTGTAGTTTTGGTATATGAAAAAGTCTAGCCAGAACAATCATTTAAAATGCCAAATTATCTTGATTTGGGTGTTGATTTTTCTTAAAAGTTTTATATTTGGGTGGGATTGTTGGCTTTGAAGCAGCGGTTCTCAGCATGGGGGTCGAGTCATCTTGGGGGGTGGAGTCAAATGACCCTTTCACAGGGGTCGCCTAAGACCATAGGAAAACACATATTTCCGATTGTCTTAGGAACCGAGACACAGTCCTTTATCTGTCTCCAGGTGGGTCTGCCCACCTGCAGATACGCCCACATACAAGTACCTGGCGTGAAGACTGTTACCCATGCTACACCATGCTTCAAGACAAAATTTCATTTATTTGTAATTAGAAATATTTCACAATATATAACTACATATTGCTTTTGTGATTAATCACTGCTGTAGTTATGTTCAGTTTGTAACAGTACATCCTGCATGTCAGATATTTACATGACAATTCATAACAATAGCAAAGTACAGTGATGAAGTAGCAATGAAAATAATATTATGGTTGGGGGTCACCACCACATGAGGAACTGTATGAAAGGGTCATGACCTTAGGAAGGTGGAGAACCACTGCCTTAGAGGATGCAGAAGGGGAAGTTGAAAACTTCATGAGGAAAATCTCAGCGTTCTTACCTTTAAATCTATCAATAAATTCTTTAAGGGGTTTTCCTACTGCATTAAAGTATTTTTATCCCACTATTCCTGTTGCTCCTAACATATTGGCTCCTTCTGGATTCTCCTACTGTGTTTTATAACTAGAACAGATACAGCAACTTTTGGGATGTGCTAAATTTTCATTTAAACATTCCTTATATAGGCTTTGGGACTTTAAAAATGAACTGGAGATGGAGCTTGTTGGTGTGTGAGGTTGACAACAGTGTGGTTCAGAGGAGGGGCCAGACAATGAGACTAATAGCGTTGGCATTACTGGGGCTGAGGACTGTTGGCCCTAGCCAGTGGCACTTGTATCAGTCCCACTGCTCCAACAGGTGGGCCATGTCCATTCTGTGTGGCCAGCCCTGGATTACTCTTAACTCTGTTCATTTAACTTCGGTACTATCTTCTTGACTGAGCTATTGTACCTTCTTAGCCCAATCATTTACTTATCATTGGAACACCAGTAATAATAGCAATTCATCTGAATAATAGCATTATTATCAGACCACCAGTAATAGCAATTGACAGCTGTCATTTGCTTTAGTTACAAGAGTTGTCCATTTTTGTCAATTTTTCTCTGGCTATTTAAAGCTG